GTTCAACCCTGACCTAATGTCATTGTACATTTTACAGGTGGGACAGTGGGAGAATTATGAAAGGAAAATTGCACAAAGTTAATAGCACCAATCAAATTACGTTGCAGAAATTGAACGATGTCTGAAAAAGTATATTTGTATAGAATTGGATATTACACGGTCATTGAGTGGCCAAGATTTTTCATTCCTCTCAAGTAGTAATTTTCTCCCAATGGCAAACACACAGCTATTTTCCATTTCAATATTTGATATGTTTAGAAACATCAAAAAGTAAATTTAGCAAAACCTTGAGCTGACAAGAAGCATTATAATTATGGTAAAAAGTGGCGACAGCAATGTTTTGTAGTGTCCCTCGTCTGTTTGCAGTGAAAGGGGCTGGCTTTCCTTTATTGATCAAGGCGACAGTAGGGACCTCCCCTGCAAAAAGAAATACTTTCACTCCACAAACAATACACAGGAAGATGACTTGTCGACTGATACACAACATTCTCAAAGAGACAAGACATTTATCCGCTCATAATAAACAAATACACCCATACATTCTTTAGTCATCAACAGAGTGCACATTTTCAAAAGTGACAAGGCATTAGGATAAAAAAATTCAAAGGATAAAAATTTCACCATTTCTTAATAAGAATACTTCGAAAAATGACAGAAAGCAGCATAAGATATTTAACCTTAGTAAATAATTTTGAACAAAATGGTAGGAAGAACAGATGGTATTTTTGTAAAGTCCACAACAGTTAGAGCAATTTTATATATGATCAGGAAATTATAAAAAGACAACCAAACTAAACTTTTAACACTCTTCAACAAAATCACTTAGGGCTTGGGAGAAAATACAGCTACGGTTACTGTGCAAGTTCACATGTCGAGGAGGTTACATGGATCTTAAAACCAGTGAAAGAGCTTGTAAAGAAATTGTTAAAAGAAATTAACAATTCAAAAAAGCCACAGTACCTGAAAGGTAAAGTTACTAAATTATTATATTTTCAACTGACCTTCAAACTTATATCTTTTATTACAGTTAGGATTATTAAAAAAACAAATTATCCTTAGTGTATGTAATATATATTTCTCAAGGTAATATAAATGGTTTAATTTTGTTAATGACTTACAGCCTTTTGAAAAGAATGGAAAGTTGATTTCTTTTTGCGAAATTACATGATCATTGTTGTAATTTGAAAAGAAAATTTAAACTGTCTTTAATCATAGAAAATTCTTCTATAATTAAGCCATCAATTTATGAACTGGAGGAGTTTATAAGTGTATCATGTTTTTATGTTTTTACTATGTGTTTTATGAAGATCATTTCCGTTGGCCTTGTGTATAACTGTGGAAAAAAATTATCAGCGATGTTATCATGTCCAGAAGAAAAAAAACCCAGAATTACAATGTTTAAGGATTGACTCTAGTGTGATGTTACAGAGATATCTAATGATGTTCCTGATGGGTTCCTAATTAAACCTCAGCTGTTTAAAACTGTCTCCTGCTAATTCACCTATTTATTTCTCTGGTCAATGGAAAATTGGATAAATAAATAAAAATGAATTGTGAAGTAAGTGGAATAGTTAACTTAATAGGATAGGGCCTATTATCCTGATTTTAAAGATAGCTCTTAATTATGACCTTCAAAACTTAATTTTCCGTCTACTTTCACCTCTTTTCTTTAACACATGTTAATTGGGTGTACATTTAACTTGACTGTCATTATAAAAAAAAATATGAGCATTTTAAATATTTTTTTTCCCTTTCACAAAAGAGATATTTCTTTTCAGATAGACAAATTTATGGTTGTAGGTCCCCACAAAGATTGATGAAATATTTTGGGATTTAAATTACTTTAATCAGTGTGACAGTTGAATTAGTGGCCTCATCCGAGGCTTTTCATTGGCCCTTCTCTTCTCCAGTTTTTGTGATATTAATTATGACTTGTACTAATTTGCATAAGAAGTGAAAGGAGCATTAACTTAACGGGAAGTGGCTCCATGGCAAGATGTTTATCTGCAATTTATCCTTGTAGAAAGTGAATACAAAGACGAGAGGTCAGGATTATTTTTAAACGGAGGTGAATGAGATTATCGTTGCCTTTTGAAGGTGGTAGTTTTGAGGATATTTAGAAGGTATTTAACTGCTGTTAAGCTAATATGAGAGGGTTTTGTTGGTAAGTAGTTATCATGCTTGAATCCTTGCAAACACAAAACTGCATGGTCAGTTGTTGAGGTTTGACTTCAGGGACAGGTTCTCGTGAGGAAAGTTGGGATTTAATTTCATATTAAAGTTCCAGTTGCCTGGGAGATTTTAAAATGGAGGCTGTATATTAGGTTTGTACTGAAATGCATTTTTTTGCACTCTGTTCAATTAAACTCACATTTTGTTTACTTCATCATCACTTCCATGTATTTTTTATAAGTATTCAAGCTGCCATGGTTATATATAAAACATCAGTTTGAATTTACACTACTTGTTAACTTACTTAAAAAAAATCTAAATAATTTATTGACATAGATTTATCAATTTGATATATGTGAATGTTAACTTCCGGTTGTAAAAATTTCAAATTCTTCATGCAGTTTTATGAATTTGCTTGTTAAAAACTCTACAGAAAATGCAATAATGTGTTGGTGGGAGATAGAAGCCAAAAACATCTTTGAAGATAACATTAAAGTAATGTTGAGTATAATTTTGATTTGAACGATACCTGAATTTACACGTAAGATGCCATCCACAGACCTCCACCATCGGAAGTGATAAGATTTTAACTTAATATGAATGATAAATCACACTAAACATCAACAGACCAATTTAAGAATTATTAAAGTCTGCAAAATTTCAAATTTCACATTTGTCAGATCTTAACACAGAAACATCTGCACACTTTCATGTTTTCACGACATCTCCCAAATCAGAAAGATTTTAATTTTTGTCTTGTTTTTATATTCCTCACTTATATATTTACGTTCTTTTCGCAAAGATTGACCCACCTGTTTTTGGGTGTTAATACAGAATCTTGGCTTTTTTACCTTTTCAATTTCCCTTTACTTGCCTGAAGTGACATCAGGCGAGATCTTGAACGTTTTTTCTCTATGTTTTACTCACTAGGTAGCGGAAACTAGACTTTGATAAGAGTGTCTTTGATGGAGCCCATTGAAACTAAAAAGCAAGATTTGCCAAAACGATACCAATGGCACTTGAATTGAGGGTCTCTGAATTAACAGACTTTCACTTCTTTGAAAGCCAGCGCTTCATAAAAGTAGAGTCCTTCAAAAAAAGACTTGACATTTTTAATAAGATATGTATAATACCGTAATGAGTAAAAACGACTTTTGTGTGAATTACATTTATTTGAATCTCTAAGTTGTGAAATTTTTGACCATGCCTATTTATGTAGTTCTCCACATGAAAGTTTTAGGGCCCTAATCATTCATCTTAACTACATAAAAAGTCTCAAGTACTTTGTGTGAAGTGCGCTATGCAGGTGCAAAATTTCTGATATATTAGTTTCCTTCAAATATATCTATCGACATATTTGTTTCTAGTACCATTGATTTACGTCATTTTTTTATATTGCACAATGCTTTTGAAATTTACCTTTTTAATATATTTAATCTAAAATACTTTGAATTATCTTATTTAGGTTTTGATATAAAAACAACAGATTTTAAATTTCTTCATTCTTTTAACATTCACTTTTATCATCTTTATAAAGAATTTCAAATTTGATTTTTTTTTTTTTTTTGGATGAGTGGTAGGTATAATTTGTTTGACTGAGAACTTTTCATGTACAAGTATAATATCATTGAAGCTTTTTGCATTCTTTGATTTAAAAGCCAGTGGTAGACCTCTGTTCCTGTTTATCATTGCCCCAGCAAAGCAGTTGAGCAAACAGATCTCAAAATTATAAAAGCACTATTAGATTTCTATGATTCTGAGAAGAACATGAAGGTTAATTTGAATAATTAGCTGTTGAAGTGATTTGCGGGACTAACCATCGCCATGGTCACCGGGAAACCCACAGTACTTTCTTTAGAGATACCCCAAGATCACACAGAAGTCAAGCGGCTCCATATTTTTTCTCACAATGTGAAGGTAAACACTGGTGGGTGTTTCTTGACAGCTGAAATACTCTGCCAATGAAACTAGTATCAATGTTATACGCTGGGTCTCAACTTTTTCACTCTAATCTAGAATTTCCTTTTTTACAAACCCCCCATCGGGGAGATGCTGGTGGGGATATGTCCTGCACGAGGTCTTATCCTCCAATCATCATACTCAGAGATGCAACTTGGAAATAAGTCATCATTTCATCAAAAAATATCCTCTTTTTTTATCTAGTCTGTGAAGTTTTTAGGGGGAGTAAACATACAGCAGCTTCATTGATTGTGAGGGTTTAAGCACGGCTGGTTAGCTCTGACCTCGGTCCAAGCCTCACTCATACAAGGTGTTTCATTTTGATAGATTTCATAGATAGATTTTCCTAATGATTATTTTAAATCTTTTTACAAAAAAATTTCAAAAAGATATTTTGTAATTTTCTTTTCATCCTTGGGTTGTTTGTGAAGTAATGCTTGGAGTTTCACTTTTGTAATGACGTAGATTTGCGAGGCAATAACACTTGTTGTTTATGACATAATGTCGGATGTTATAATATATTATGGGATGAATTGCTCATCCTCTTCCAGTGGTTGGTTGCTAATTGGTTTTAATTTGCTAATCACATATCTGCACAGGGAAATAGTTTACTTCAGTGGTTTTGGGGTAGATAACCATCGAGCGTACCATGGTTTCTTTCAGATCAACTGTTATTCTATCTTTGAGCAAAAAGGAAATGTGCTGTTTGGAAGCCTAGCTTTATACCGTGTACAGGTCCATCTACCTTTGGAGGACGATTTTGTTTACCAAGAGATAACTAACCTGAACTCATTTCAACTTTCTTTTGATATTCTTGGGGTTGAATTAATCACTCGTTAACAATTTCTCCTGGTTTTTCTGATCGGCAGGCGTTAGGGGTGTGGAGTGTGGACTACATACCACGTGGAACACGATTTGGACCTCTAGTCGGAGACGTTTACTCTAAGGAACCATTCCTACGAAAAGAATCGGATAGGGTTTCTATATGGAAGGTAAGTCCTTATTTTGCTAGTCCTGGTCTCTAATCTAAGAAAGATTACACTACTATATTTTATAATACAGGGAACAAACCATCCTCATCTTTTTATGTGAATTAGATGAGCATGTTTATTTTCTTGGCCAAAACATTGTCATATCTGACTTTCAGTCCAAGAATTCCATTCAATGGTTTTAAAATTTTGTTTAAACATAATATTATCTTTCAATTTTTTTTCTCTTTGAAAAATTACATTATTCTTGAGTCTTTGGTTTAGTTTTTTTTAATAATTTTTGAAATTAGATATAATGTAGTGTAATTTTTGCACTAAACTAAAGTTTAATTTTATTTATGTATGGACGGAGGCTATTGACTATGAAGGACATCTAATCAGTAGTGTCCTATGACAAATCTATGATGGCCAAACTGTGTATTTATAACCAAAACATGTGTTCTCATCACCGACATTCCATCCCAGCTTAGCCTTGGAATAAAACAAAGTCCACAAGGAGAAAAAGTTTTTTTCTTCTGATCTGAAAGTTGGTTTAAAATGCATTCAATATTTCAGTGTCTTCTGTCAAGTTTTGTTTGTTAAATCTGAAACGGGAGAGACAGCTGCCGGTCATATAACAGAAGGATCTCGTTTTTTATACATGATTTTTTTTCCCTGATAGAAATGATATAAACGATTAAGGTTTCCTTTTACAAGTCTGTTTGTGCTTGGTCTCTATATATTGATTTACGAAAGAGTAATTTGGCTCTGGGTGGTTGCATAATAAATTGCTAATTGGTCACAGGTGGAGAAAGTGTTGTATGGATCATATTGTCTAGATCATGTATACTCTTGAGGCTAGTACACAGTTGTACAGGCCTTACAAGCTTTAAACACACATAAATATAAAACTTACTTATGTTAGATTTCTCAAATTCTGACACTTCAGTCAATAGAATGAAATTTAAAAGTGCATTGCTTGGATTTAAAATAATCGTCAGTGATTCGAATGTTTGAAAAAACAATATTTTAAACAAATTCTAAAGAGATAAGATTTTGAATACACTTGTGAAGTTAAGGTAGGGATAATCCTAGACTCCACTCGCTCAGTGTAACATATCATTACCTCAGTTACCTGGAGTGTAGGAGGGGCCGGGTATTACTGACGGAGAAAGTGAAACGGGAGAAATTATGGAAGCTATTTTCCCTTTAATAAATGGATTAGATTCTTCTTTAGGAGTGCTACCGGAGCTGGTAATTGCTTGTTAATTTATGAAGGTTGAATAGAAAAGGAAAGCAGAGTAGACAAGTGTAATGATATACAATTTTCTCATGTATCCCAAATAATTTCTTCAATTACACCTAGACATTTATAAAAAAAGTGCCAGAAAAAAAAAGATAAAACACCTATTTTATGTCATTGTAGCTCTCATCCCAATGTGATATTAACCTAGAATTCAGAATGGTGTTTGTCAATTCATTTTAGAAAAGCGGTTTTATTTTTATCAATTTTATTTTGAGATGTGAATTGGTTTGAATAGTGAATAGAATTTGAGTCGGTGGTGATTCCAAGCTCTGATATATTATTGAAAGTCTGAATGATGATCAGGGAGGTCATGAAAAGAAAGCGAAAATTAAACTGATTTACCTTATCTATCAATGTAAAAATTCTAATTCATTCAAATTTTTTTTGTGGAGAAATAAATCAACTTTTTTTCATAATCTGAAATGTAAGAGAGATGAAAATAAAATTTAAATCGGTTTCTCTAAATATATATCTTTAGGCGATATTAAAACCATACATCAATTAAGTCATGTAAAAATGTATTTAATTCAAAATGATTTTAAGTCAGGTGTTTTACAATATGTAGTCTGGTATGAAAATTAAATTTATTTTCCTTTGCTGTGAATACTAATGCCTTGTTAAGCGTTAAAGAGAATGTCATCAATTCATAAACTTTGAAAGACGAATGACATGTTTAATAAAATAAGCAGATTTATTTTGTATGGTAACAGACTGTCTAGCTGTCGTCTATACTCAACAACTGCCTGTTTATCTCCGTAAATGGGATGAAAAAAAAAAGTTTATGAGAAAAATTTGTTGATTTAAAGTGAATTATCTGTGTGAGTGCGCTTCCTGCAACTTCACCACAGGTAGCCTGTATGTTTCATTCATAAGTTCTAATGACAAATTTGTTTAAAAGTTTCACTCCACTTGAAGTAACGTTTTTTAAAAGAGGTCTGATTTGGAGGTCAGTGTTGTAGAATCGTGTTCGCAGTATAACACACATTTTCTGCCATTTCCCAAGATGTATAGCCCATATCTCAGCAGATAGCCTTGATAAGAACGATAGGTTAATTTGATACTTTTTTTCCTTGTAATAAACTATTTTGTTTCCTGTACATACTCTTAGATAGGCACATGTCATAAGAAGCCTTGGGGCCTCTATCTCGTCTACAGAAACACATAGTGTAAGAATTATCCGGTCAAGATAAACGTTTCAGTAGATTTGGTTGAAATAATCATTTTTGACATTTCGATTCAAGCTCCCATGATCTTCCTCAGTACTTTTATACACCTTGTTTATGTCACAATGTTTGATAAGTAAAAGGAAAATGTCAGCTTTTTAATATACAAAAATTTATTGCGATATTTTTGGATGATATTTTGATAGATGGATATTTTCGACTCAATAACTCATGTGGACAAAAAACAGGATGAATTTTTTTCAACAGGAAAAATAAAAAGGAGAAGAAAAAAACTGTTTATTGTGATAATGATTTGATGTATCATGGTTCCTGACATCCAGTTCACACACTTAAATTGGGTGATTTTTTGTTGTCTTACATCCATACAGGAAACTTACACATCGGTTAGTAAGACTTGATTTATAACTTAGGTCTTCTCTGAGTAGAACTATCATAATTACAGGATGTGCCTCCCACTACAGATCAAAAGTTGATTTAGGGATGTGCCGAGGCTAAAACCAGTCCTGTGGAGAGAAAGCCTTAAATGTAAACATTTTAACTCATAGAAGATTTACATTACGAAAATGAAACGAAAGGTCCTTGGATTCCAAGAGGAAGAACCTAATCTGAGATAATACAGTGAGAGAAATTGAAATAATTCCTTTCATTTTCTAGTCCGTAGTTTAATCATTACATAGACAGAATATTAACTTTTAATGGGACGAAAGTATTAGCTTTTTACGGTAGAAGATGCTTGACTATCTGGTAAACAAGTGTTATGTTGTTCTACATGAATCAATGTTAAAGGTATGGATTACCAACTGAACGGGAGATACCATTATTTCAGGAATTATCCATAAGATACATACCTTTTTATCTGTGCTTCATTTTCCTAGCATTCCACGAAACATATCTTTGTAGAATGTGAAGTGTCATGTAGTATTGAGTTTTTTTTGGTGTTTTTTGTTCAAGATCATCAAACAGTTGTTTTATTTCCAAACTTTAACAATTTTTTTTTCTAATTTTAACTCAGTGACATACTCAAGTACATTGATTTGATATCCAAATTTTGCTATTTTTTAACACCTGAAGAAACGAGTTAACTCCCTTGATTAATTCATCAATAATTACATGAACGATTTTGTTTGTATTTACAACATTTTCCCAATTATTAACACCTGTACAGACCAGTTAACTCCCTTGATTAATTCTTCAATAATTACATGTATGATTTTTTTTGTATTTTCAGATCTTCAGTAACAACACAGTTTACCAATACATAGACAACAGTGACGTGACAAAGAGTAGCTGGATGCATTACATCAATTTTGCATATTCATCCGTGCAACAGAACCTAATTGCCTGTCAAATCGACTTCAACATCTACTTTTACACCATAAAGCCGATCCCTCCTAATACAGAACTGATGGTCTGGTACTGCCGGGAATATGCTGACCGCATCAACTGCCCAATCACTGGCGAGGAGATGCTTCAGTCATGGCGTAAGTTTCAGTTGTTCTCAGCTAATTTTAGCTTTCTCTCAGTTTACTTTATTTGTTTTGATCAGAATCTTTAAATTCCTGATCTGACCAGCATCATTTAAGTGGTAGTAGAGATTATGTTTTGTAATAAACATTTGATGGACATACACAATTTTCCATCATTTTTGTTGGCCTGATAATTCTTGGAAAATGAAAGCTCACAAAAAGATTGACACTCACAGTATGTTATAGCTCTAGTAGAAGGACAAAAAAAATTTTTGTTTTTTTTGTTTTTTTGTTTTTTTTGTTTTTGTGGTTCTTAATTTTGGAGTTTAAGAAAAACTAGAAATAGAAAGCATGTGATTTTTGTAAAAAAAAAAATCATGAGACAACTATGGTATCCTCGGTTAGATATTAAAATTTTCAAAAATAGGAAAAAATCAAACACATTGAAAATAATAAGCATTACATTATTCAGAAAACTTTCTGTTGATAACAGTCATGATAATATTTTCTTCACTGATAATTCTTGTGAAATAAGGAAACTAGAATAACATGTTTATAGTAGATGAAATTTGTGTGAAATTGGAATCTTAAAGCACATTATGTTTTTGGCTTCATGCATATCATATAACAACAACAACTTACCAGTAACTGTTTCTTGAACTACGCCTGTAAGCTAACTTCAGACTTAATTTGAAATTGAGATGACAGTGTACTTCAAAGTGATTAGGAGGAATGATACAGCTATTGCGATAGCCCCTAGTCATCATAGTGGCAGAATGAAGATATTCACATTTTTACTTCTTTTCATCAAAGAGAGTTTTTCCTAATCTTATATTATGTTTTGGCTAATAAAGTAAAGTTTTGGAGTATCACCCAGGTAATTACTGTTGTAAATGCCACAGGTGTTTTTATTGAACAAGACTTGGGTGTCTTTGATAAATTAACTGAAGAGAAATTCCTTTGACAACGGTCGTGAGCCTTTGGTGTACCTGATTCTCAGTACCATATCCTTCAGCCATATCAGCCTGTGCAGCTTCAGCATACGACCATGCAATTTTATTGTCACTGGTCCTATTCATTAAATTCATCAGTTAATTAACAAAGTGATGAAAACAAGTCATTTTGAGCTTCATTTTTGTTGATGATATACTGGTATTTTCTATGTGATTTATAAATAGGCGTTTCATCAGTTTTATTTTTATGCAAAAAAATATTTGCAATTTTTTTTTATTTATTATATTTTTTTTGCATTAGTATGAAAACAATGTCAACACCTCGGAGGAAGTATTATATTTAAAAGTGTGAAAAATTGTTTGAATTATGAAATTCATAGTTGTGTGGATGTATTCATAGGATAACTTCCTAGTTCCTGCTTTTCTTTTTAAAAAGCTGGTATGTTTGAGGAAAATAAAACAACATTCTTTTGTTACTCTATATAGCCATAGTGGCCGACAGCAGAGCTAATTATAGGTGATGTAAGACGACACACACTTTGAAAATAAATGTTTTAAAAGTAAATCCCAGTTATTCAATTTTATAACCAGGTTGTGTCAGTTTTCGTGAAGACTGGGGTAATTCAGACTTTGTCAGTAGCCCCTTTTAATTTACATTTATAATTTAAAGTGACATTCGCAGTAAAAATCTGCTATTATCTAGTATTATATTTCCTTTAAAGCAATTCAATATCTAAGTTTGTAAACATGAACGTTTTTAATAATTGAATTTAATTTTTGTCCGCCACTTATGTCAAAATGTGGCCATTAGAATTACACTGTCTCTGGTCGCAGTATATGATATCTAGATCTTGTGAAAGGAATGAGAACTTTCGTTCTGGAATAGAATCAAACATCTTCATAATAATGCTTTTAAAAAACACTAGGTATTCCGTGTGATGACGGATGGCGGTTTCATGTACAAATTGTGTTGAGTAGTAATTTAATGATCAATGGGCACACGCCTATTGTCTTGTGACCGGTGGAAATCGAAACTGGTCAATGGCATGGACGCAGAGAACAAAACCCTAATCCAGATGGCTGCTGGGTGTATTAAGTCAATAAAAGTCCCATTAATTTGCATGCAACTTTTTAAATGCTAATACAGGAGTAGATTAAGGTGACTGGTACCGGGCCTGTCATAGAACATCCCAGGCCATAAACAAAGTTGAAATTACAACCCCAAGTGACTTTTTAAGACATTTCATTCAAGGTTTTTATAGGGAGATTTGCCTGGTGAATTTTTATCATTGTTTACACCTACAAATTTTGAAGATGAAATTAACATTTGGCCCTCCTGTGGACTAACACTCTCTGGGAGTCTATGATAAGTTAGATTTAAATGACATGACAGTTTTATGACAATTTTAACTTATATCTGTATTTTTGAATTCTACTGTTATGGAAATTTATCTTTGAGAATGTAGCTGTTGTAAAGACAGGACATCAAGCTTTCAACACGTTTCATTTCCAGTTCAATGCTTTACTGTTCTTTCAATGGTTGCCACAGTTTAACATAAAAACTCCTCTAAATTGTAAATTTAGATTAAAATTTCAAGATCTCTTATTTAAAGATTTTCATCTTGGAGTACTGGTGTCCTTCCTTGTTCACTTTACTTGTAAAAGCATTTCATTTAAATATGCTAATTAAAACATTTTATTTGAACCAAGTGTCCATTTGGCGTGCAGACAATTTATCTATTTAGTTATTCTTCTGTGAAAGATAAATTAATTGAGATTAGATAGTAATTATTTCAAAAAGTCTCAGGTTTTATCCACATAGTAGCCTTCTTTTTTTCCCAATTTTAAATATAAATTCTTTCTGATGATTTAGTGTCTTTCTAACTCCCATTAGAATATTCAAGAACCGTAGATTGAGCTTAAAGGCAGGTCCTGTTCATACAGAATACTTTTGAATTAGTCTGTTCTACATACACACAAAACAATTTCCAGGAACAAATCCTCCACTTTATTCTGTAATATAATATTCTCTGTTTTAAACTTAAAAGCAATTTTTTTCTGGCTTTTGTAAATTTATTGAGCTGGGTGGTATTTCAACTCTGTTCAATTGGTTTATTGAATTTTTCCTTTATTTTTGAAAAAAAAAAAATGAAAATTGAAATTGAAGAAAAAAACCCATTTGTGATCAGTTTTGTAATGCTGTTGTATTTTGTATCATTACAGGAAGACAAATGCTTGAACGTCATCTTCCTTTCCCAAAGAGTTTTCTCCCGATCTGCCCGCCTAACCCAGGCAGTCTGTTCAAGGAAGACAGGAGTCCTTCCCGTCCCAAGACACCACCACATGAAGAGGACTCACTGAAGGATGACAGCTGTGAAAATGGGGAGTGTATTCGGGAGGATGGCTATGCTATTGATTACAGCCTCCACAAGCGGGATGGCAGCCCTACAAGTGATGACCAGGAGGTTTACCATAGCGACCGGAACAAGTCGGGGCACAGTGACAGCCTTTCTGTGTCTGCAGGATCCATACTCTCACCACTTAAAGTTCCCAAACATGAGCCTCTCAAGGAGCCCAGTCATCCATTGGAGCCCCTGTCACTACAAATGCCACCAAGCTCTGTTGACTTACATCTGGGATCAATCAAAATGGCTCATAGCACGCCCAAGAAAAGTTCTGGAATTATTGAGAATTTGCTCCTGAAGAAAATGAAAGAAAATGGTGAAGAAATTACTGAGAAAATACTCAAAGGAAATTCTCTAGCATTTGACTTTAAACCTCCCATGGACATCAAACCTCCAGTGTTACCTACCCTTCCTGCACATTCTATTCATCCTGCTCATCCAGTTCATCCTGGTCATCCAGCACATCTTGCTCATGAACAGAAACCCAAATCAGAGGAATTGTCCAAGGATCGGCCAGCTTCAGACCAATTCAGTCCATTTAATCCGTTCTTCTACTCCAAATTTTTCCCTCCAAGTCCAATAATGGACAAATCACCAATGTCTCCATTCATGAACAGACCAGATGAACAATACTCAAAGCTGGTGTCGGGAAGCAAGATGGGATCAAACTCCGGACCGCCACTGTACTTCCCTACCCCAACTCTTCCAGGCATGTATCCAATGAATCCTATGAACCCAATGAATTCAATGTATCCTTTCAATCCTTACCAAAGTCTGGCTTGGCAAATGTATCCACCTCAGTTCCATCCGATGGGAAATCAGCAACAGGTGTCGCCACCATTTCCACATCCTCCACAAGCTCCTCCCCATCCTGATCAGGTCCTCAACCTCACCAAACCAAAGGCAGATAGCTCATCTGCCAGAGGTCATAGGTCACTACCATACCCATTGAGGAAACGGGATGGGAAGATGCACTATGAGTGTAATGTGTGTTTCAAGACATTTGGACAGTTATCCAACCTCAAAGTGCATTTACGTACACATACAGGCGAGCGTCCATTCGTTTGTCAAACCTGTGGCAAAGGATTCACCCAGCTGGCTCATTTACAGAAGCATCACCTTGTTCACACCGGAGAAAAGCCACATGAATGCCAAGTTTGTGGCAAGCGGTTCAGTTCCACGAGCAACCTCAAAACCCACATGCGGCTCCACAGTGGGGAGAAGCCATTTCACTGTAAACTCTGTCCGGCCAAATTTACTCAGTTTGTGCATCTGAAGCTTCACAAAAGACTTCACACAAATGAACGTCCATATGAGTGTCCGCAGTGCAACAGGAAGTACATTAGTGCTAGTGGATTGAAGACACACTGGAAGACGGGCAACTGTATTCCTCCTGGGATCAACCTTGACTATAATGCTCTTCTTGAAAATACACATCAAGGAGCCTTGGATCAGGACCGACATGAGCTGAATGGGGAAAGTTTGTCTCGGGACAACATGGAATACCATGACAACGAACAATTGAGTATGAGCGGTGAACTTAATGATAACAGTGATATTGATGCTCAAAAGAGCATGCCTAGTGACACGTCGGAGGTGATGTACCGCCGCCTTCACAGTGTCAGTAGCAGTATGATTGGCAGCGAGGAGGATGAAGAGGAGATGATGATGAGAGAAGAGGAAGAAATGCTACAAATGAAGGAAACTTTCTCCCCACAAAACTCTGACATTGATAATGACCAAGACATGTCCAGACCATATGTGAAATCACTAGACTATAGTGCCTCGTCACCTCCTAAATCAGACAGTCCCAGCCCCCAGAGCTCGCTTAGTCCCACAGGGGTCACAATCAGCCCCCCACGGGTTTCACACAGCATTGAAGCCATTACTGCATAAATTGGTCCAGTGATTAAGTGTTAATTTGTTATTGTCATAAATTGTTTTTATTGTGTCAAATATTTATGAAAAAAGAAAACGATCAAATTGACAGTCCCAGGCCTAATCAAATATATACTGGGGTACGCTTGTTGAGTTGTAGTCAGTGTTAAGTATTTTGCAAAAAGTGTTGACAAGAATGAGTGTTGCATTGAATGTTAGCGAGACATGCATGATATTTAAATATGATATTTATTTAATTAATCATAAATGATTAATATGCCAAATTATGTATTCAGTGTTCTGTTTTAAGAAATGTTTTGTTTTGATGGGTACCAATCAAGGTGTCTACTGTGATTTAATCAGAGGTGACATAACCAATATTATACAGAGCTTTTTCGTAGCTGTTTGGGGTTACTCTATTTTGTTTCCAAATCGAGCTGGTAATTGACTTTGAGGACACTTTGTCCTTGCTATGCTCTCACTCTGCCAGGATGCATTTATTTGATTTAAAAGTCAACATTGTATCTGATTATCCTTAAATCAATTCTCAATGTTTGAACTTTATTTTCTCTCTGTATAATATTATTGCATTTAAAATCATTTTCAATTTCTTCTTAATTTTTTGCCATGTTCTTTATCAACTTCATGTATCATCTTTTAATTCATGTAAAATCTGTTATGTAACCACGATGGATAAACAGTGATGGATTTTTCGTATTTCTTTATTTAAGTATCGTTAATTTATTATTTTGAGGAGACAATTTAATATTTATGGTGAATTTTGTAAATGTGTGAAAAAAGCTACAATTTTTTTTTAAGTACATTATGTTTAATTTGAAATTTTAATATAATGATATTTTCAGGTTGAATTTTTTTAACAGTTTTTCTTTTTGCAGTGCCATAACTAACACTTTGAAGTTTGACCAAATCAGTATTTGGTGTGTCTTAATCTGAACTTGTTCATATTTATTGTCAAATATCAGCATAGCCAATGTTTAATGTATATTCAAAAACAAGTATTCAATCTAATTGTATAGTTTCCTTTATAGCAAGGTTTAATTGCAACTCCAGAGAAAGTTTCTAATTAGAAAGATAAAAATTAATCAAATCAGAATTTATAAAGAAAACTATTGCTAAATTTGTTTTTCTATTGAAAAAAAAACATAAGATAAGCTATTTATTGTACCATAATGAATAAAAGGAGTGCATAACTATAGAAAATTATTTGCTATAAAGGATAATTGTTCAAGATCAAATATCCGTCCGCTTTACTCTAGTATTTTTGTTTAATTTAGATCGTCACTTAATCTCTGAGCAAATTACATGTACAAATATCTTGAACCACTCAGAGAAAGAAGTATAGTGTTTGGCGTGTTGGAATTGGTCTGCTGATATTTTTACAGTTGGAACAGATGTTTCTATTCTTATTGAAAGGATTTTCTCATACGATACAAAAAGGATCTACTGAAATTTATCTTACCATGGAGATAATACAGCTTCACACACAAAAAATGAATGAATTATTTTTGAAATATCTAATTTCAAAACGATTTAATTTATAAGTAAAAAAGAGCATTTGTATATTAAATTTACCGAGATAGTCACTTGAGATTTGTATCTAGTCTTACTGTCCTGGTTAAAATCCTTGTTGCCAGTATTTTATCATCCTATAGAAACCATTCAACTACATGCATGGAATATAGTATAATTATGTTAGACATTTTACACAATGACGTCAGGTTTTTCATCATTAAGAATAATACTTTGATGTATGAAAAATAATTAATAATCACATGAGTAGTTACGCAGTACATCAGTCAGTCTGTATCATAATTTAGATAGTAAATATACTTCCTTACAATGCAATTGAAGATTTTATAATCTCTAAACATACTCATTTGTATAAGACAGCCTTGATTTTTATCATTAAAAGAAATGGAATTAAGAATCACTTTTAAACCATTCATATACTGTCCTTACTATCCTTACTATATGAATCAAAATCACTTTTTTTTTTCCTAATATTTATGATAAAACACCAGGTACAAAGTATAAAGTGTAGGTGTTGTAATTTGTGAGACAAGAATTGGAGCTATAATCAGAGGTATCAGTGATTTTTGTTATGAAAGATCAATGAAACATCACAGGTCATGTTTAGAATATTGCAGTAATTCAACCAGGGCAGTGTGTGCGTACCCAGCTATTCCGCCTCACTTGGGTACGAAGAAAAGCACTTTTATTTCTAGTGCATTATGATCACAATCTAAATGGAGAGACAAGAAAGCCGCTAATTGTTCAGAGACTATGAACTCGGACAGATACATTTGCAATAACTCTGTAATATTTACTCAAATCCGTGCTTCATTAATCAGCATTGCTGTAAATCCACAGAAAACGCTGTTATTTCAAAAGAGTGAAATGTAATCTGGGTCAAATTTCAGACCACTTTCGGTCCCTGATGTGTATAAGATTTCCAGGTAACTCCCTAATGTCGCGTATGAAATACACTTTTCCAATATTGGAAATACGAATTAGTGAAAACCTTTTATCGGTAATTGTTTTAAACTGTGGTGACACCATTAGTGGCTGAATGGTAGGCTGACAATCACAGCGATCCGTACACTTGTACAAACCTCTTTAATAATGATTTACCTCACTTCTCTTATGACTATGTTAACAGGTAAAAATGGAAATTGAAAAGAAATTCTGGTTGTGTTCTCTATTCATCACGTTAACTCCTATTGGTGTTTAATAAGTGATGATTGCGTTTTCCGATACAGGAGCTTTTGTCAGAGTCTGACAATTGCTTGATAACATTCATTGTGAAAGTTGCCTACTTTTTTAAGCAGAATCGGTATTTTTTTTTAAAAAAGGACTGCTTTGCCATACAGAGATTTTGTCAGTTTGTGCAATTTAGAATTTTATTTATGACAATACATCCGGAGAGAAATGAAAGGGATATTAGAGGTGTGTTGTATTAAGAGTACAATGATAAACACCAACAAATCACAGATACTGACACCAACGGTGATTAAACGTAATAAATCCACTTAGGCTTTCAAAGTCCATCAAATCATTCATTAACATAGAAAAAAATCCTAGTAATAATGATATTTTTCAGTATTGGTTTCCCAACCCCTGTATGTAACATTTGAATCATCCGGATCAATATACCGACTATACTATTGTTGTTTTGAAGGGTTAAAAGGTCCTAGTCCCATTCTGCACTTACATGAACGTTTTCAAACTGAAATGCTTTATTTTCTTTCATTCACATGTTGAACAGTTTCACAAGAATTTATTAGATTATTTTTTTTATTTCTTTTTTTTTTATATTTGTTTGAGCACATTGTTAACAGAACACAAATGTAACGTGCACCTTATTTCATTGTTTCAGTTAATCCTGGGAAATCACTCAAGGATTTTATGACTTGTTGTCTTAAACAGAATATTTTTCCTTATTTTTTAAATGAATTTATATTTTTTCTTTTAAGTCAAAACATTTTTTAACTTCTCCTTGAAAATCAAAATTGAATTAAAATGTTATATGAGTGTCCATTTTAATTGAGATTATGATAGAAATCAAATATATTTTCATTTAAGTGGGCTAAGTGAAAACTCATGATTGATCATATTTCATAGGAAATTGAAACCAGAAGATTTGTTACTTCAAACTATCATAAGATTGTCATTGCTTCTAAACTTGCAATATTCTAATTTCATTAGACATATGTATATTGATTTTTGTGTTCCTAAGTGATATATATGACCACTTCTACTTGATATATATGGAAGAGTTCATTTATGTCGTTTATGGGGATGTACAGCTTATCACAAACTGGGACCAGTGACATGAAAATTCAGGGTAATCAACCTGTCCATCCACATAAGGCATCTTAGACTCTTCTAAATGAATGAAGGCAGGGCCTATCTTGTAAATATGGAGATGGCAGGAATGAAATGTTGTTGTGTGTAAACACATGATTTTGTAACTATGGTTATGATAGTAAAACAATAATAGAGAAAAAGTTTGTAATCAAAATACAGAATTACCATGTAACTTAGCTGGAGGCCTTTTCTGGCTTTTGTTCCACCATAAGTAGATGTACAAATACAAGTTGTATTTAACTTATAGGAAATAAACAAAATACTGAGTAATAAAAAACATAAAATGAAAACAATTTGTGTCTGTTGTTGTTGATTGTTTACTCTACTTATTTCTGCTATTAAACGCCATTTTACTGCCTGAATATTACAGACAGTATCTGCATGGATAGAATAGATCATGGCAATACACTAGAGGTCAGACAGAACATAGATCAGGATATCACAGGGGTCATTAAGTAGTAGTAACAGATAAATTAGAGTATGGTCATATGTTGTCAGGGCCAAATCTAGTCAGCATAATTAATTGATAAATGGTCAGTTATTGGCAGGATATCCTACTGATACAAGGGTCAATGATGATGAGATATCTCACAGATATAGAGTGAAATATTGACAGGATATCTGACTGATACAGGTCGGTCAATGATGATGAGATATGTCACAGATTTAGAGTGAAATACTGACAGGATATCTGATTGATACAGGTCAATGATGATGAGATATATCACAGATATAGAGTGAAATATTGACATGATATCTGATTGATACAGGTCAATGATGATGAGATATCTCAGATAGAGTGAAATATTGACAGGATATCTGACTGATACAGGTCGGTCAATGATGATGAGATATCTCACAGATATAGAGTGAAATACTGACAGGATATCTGACTGATACAGGTCAATGATGATGAGATATCTCAGATAGAGTGAAATATTGACAGGATATCTGACTGATACAGGTCAAAGATGATGAGATATCTCACAGATATAGAGTGAAATAATGACAGGATATCTGACTGATACAGGTCGGTCAATGATGATGAGATACAAGGACAGATGTTTCTGGATATCTAACTGATATCAGATCATACCAGTCAAATGTTTATACTAAATGTCTCAACAATA